GCCCTCACACACTCAGCCCTCACACACTCAGCCCTCACACACTCAGCACTCACACACTCAGCCCTCACACACTCAGCACTCACACACTCAGCACTCACACACTGAGCACTCACACACTGAGCACTGCTCAGCCTCAGACTGCGGGCACTAATCATTTATTGGCTCCATAAAGCTTTGGTTTGACTTTTGATCCGTGCCTTTCTTTGCTTTAGAGGCTGACTTTAGAGGCTCTTTTTGAACGGGGAACTGCCGTCCAGTTCCTAACACTGAATTTAGTTCAAAATACAACCTATGAAATGGACCTCTCCAACATTGGAGATAAAAACACCCCAAAAATCCAATAAAAACCCTAGAAAATCTTTTCCAAAAAGCTGGATTTCCTAGACACCCTTTTGAAAGTAAAGAGAGATGTGTTTTGAGAAGAATGTGCTTTTTAAAATAATGAAAAATGGAGTAGCTAAATAAAGATGTGGAGTTTGGGTGTGGTGGAGATTTCTTCAGAAATCTATGACCTTACGAATGTAAAAAATGCTGCATGGGGTTAAAACTGAAATGTTTTTCTATTTTTAAGGGCGTTGGTCAGCAGGCCAGTAACTCACCAATGGGGATTCCTAGAGTGACCACAGCAGCCATAAGAGCCCCTGCAGACGCGCCATAGATCCTGGAGGCGTCCTGCAGGAGGCGGGGGAACCTCTCCAGGATGCAGCTGGCGATCCCGGCATAATAAATCCCCATGAAGCCGCATCCTGCGAACGAGATGCCCCAGTCCTTCTTCAGGTCGAACATGCTGTCCATTATACACCACCAAAGCGTGTGGACACCCGTCAGTCCAGGCCCAATCTTATCACGCAAAAATGTTGCCTGTCAAACCCCAGCAATCAGCATCCAAAGGTGAGAGATAGGCGCCTTCACGGGGGCGTTTCCCCGGAGCTTCCCATTGGCTGGAAAAGGTCACATGGCCCGTAATGAGCCAAGTTAATAAACTCTGGGAGAAAACTCCACAGTCACTTCACAGTGGGCTCTGCAGCCTGTCCGGGTCCTCTGGTGATGGCCATCCCCGTGGTGGACTTCGGCGCGTGCAGCCTGGCGCAGGAGCGCGCGGAGGAGCGCGTGGAGGGCGAGCAGCTGCGCGCGCTGAGCGAGGAGCTGAGAGCGGCTTTTACGCAGGTTGGATTCGTCTTCCTGAAGAACTCTGGCATCACTCAGGATGAGGTGAGGCGGTGTGAAGCACAGGCTCTGTTTAAAGCGGCCGGAGCTGACCGGTCTGTGCTGGACAGGTGGAGCGCGTCATGGACATGTCCAGACGATTCTTCCTGCTCCCAGAAGAGCTGAAAAAGCCTTTCAGCAGGGGGAGTTTCGCCAACAACCTGAACCACGGCTGGGTCTCGCTGGAGGCTGAGAGGTGGGGAGCAGACCACAGGCGTTTCCTGCAAAGTTATTTATCTTGGATCGATCTTGAAGAATTGATTTTTGTGTGTTTTTCAGGTTGAATCCGAGTCGACCCGGAGATCTGAAGGAGTCGTTCAACACTTCTTCATTTCACCCTGACATAGTAACAATTCTTTTCCTCTCTACTGACTTTACAAAGGCTGAGGTGCCAGATCAACAGTATCCATATCGGACTGTCTTTGAAAGAAAAGCAGGGTTATGGTTAGGGACAAAACCTTATCAGCCTCTTTGAAAGCATTTGCTGTCTCTCTAAATGTGTTCCTGTGTGATGTTAACCCTGCTGGCTGAGCTGTGCTTCTGCTGGAGACAGCAGTCTGAACTCTGGCTCCATGGCTCCTCTTTCTGTGCAGCTGTGGCCCTGCTCCGGCTCCCTGGCCGGGTTCCAGGAGACCCACGCCTCGTTCTTCCAGCGCTGCAGGGAGCTGAGCCTGCGCGTGCTGAGGCTGCTGGCCCACGGTCTGGGTCTGGAGCCGGACCTGTTCCTGAGGGCGCACGGCCTGATAGGCAGTACGATCACAGCCCGGACATATCCACACACACACGTCCTGTCCTCCAGCTCCTGCTCCTCCAGAAACAGACCCCCCCCCTCCTGATGTGTGAGATCATCTCTGCACACGGGCAGGGGGCAGGAGCTGGACAGCAGTGCGGAGCAGAAAGGTACAGTACGGGAATGCTGGACAGGTCATTTGTGTCCCCAGGTGACCAGAACGGGAGCACGCTGCGCTCCCTGTACTACCCCCCGGTCAGCCGGCGGCCGGTGAAGGAGGGCCAGCTGCGCTGTGGCGAGCACTCGGACTACGGCAGCATCACCCTGCTGTTCCAGAGCTGCGACGGGCTGCAGGTACCCCCCCCCACAGGAAGACCGTGCCCAGGAGGGCTTTGACGATTCAATGAATGTCCAGAACTTAAACCACTTTTTTGGTTGCTTTTTTCCTCCTTTGAAGATGGGCTTAACTGGCTTTGGAGCTCTTTGGTCATTTGCCATTGAACGGCGTCTCTCAGCTGAAGCCTCTGAGCAGCTCTTTGTGTAACTGGATATGTTTTCACTGTGACATGAAGTGTGTCTGGCTTTGTTCAGGTCTGTAATCATTCCGGGGAGTTCATCTCTGCTCCCACCATCCCCGGAGCCGTCCTGGTCAACATCGCTGACCTGATGCAGCGCTGGACCAGCGACCGGCTCGTTTCCGTGGTGAGGGAGTCACACTTTATTTTCAGAATTACATGCCAACATTTGTGGCATGAGGCAAAACAGGTGAAGAGATTCTTGTGGTTTTTAGACTTAGCTTGTTAAAGGCAGGATTTTGAGGGGATGCAGGAAATCCCCTACAGTGAGTTACAATCCTACAGGGAGAAACTGATCATCAAACTGAAACATCATTATTACATTCCTGTTGTTCAACATGGGTTAAAACAGTGTTTCCCAACCCTGTTCCTTAAGGCACACTGCCCGGTGTGTTGTCCAAGTTTCCCTCCTCCAGCACCCCTGATTAAGATGAATGGGTCCTCATCAGCCTTCTGAGAGTTCCCCTGTTGATTTGAATCAGATGTGCTTTAGAAGAGAAACTTTGAAACCATGCAGGACAGCGTGGCCGGGGTTCAGGGCTGGAAACATAACGGTCAGTCTGGGCGGCTGTGGTGTGAAGGGATGACCGATGAAAAGATGCAGACCTTTTCAAGATCGCTGCCAGCTGGAAAACCCAACTACCTGTAATGTTCTCTGAGAGGAATGATACGAGCTGGAGTTAAAAAGGGTTGCAATACTTGAATCATTGCAGATTCAGCACACGCTCAGATTGGTTTCACTGCATGGGGTACAAACCCGTCACTGTTTATGTGCTGGAACAGAAGGGTCTGTAGCTTTTAATTGTTGAGCGGTTTGCGCAGCGTCACAGAGTTCTGCTGCCCCCCGCCGGGGACGCCGGCACACGCCAGGCCCTGGCCTTCTTCGTCCAGCCGGACGACCAGGCCCTGGTCAGCTGCTGCGACGGCTCCAGCAAATACCCCCCCGTGAAGGCTGGCGCCTACCTCAGCGAGCGCTTCCGGGAGTCGTACGGCCAGAGCTGAGCACGCCGCGGACGTCTGTCTGCACCTGTGCCCCCCCCAGAGGAGCAGAGGCCGCACCTGTGGAAGTGCACGAGAACAGCAGCAGCAGTGGACGGCTTCAGATCCCAGAGGGATTTTCCATTTCTGACTGAAATCATTGATGCAAAGATGCACGTTACACTTGCAAGCTCATTCATTTAATTGTCAACATTCAGACCAGGCACAGTGTTTTCATGTACTTGTTACACAGGGTGTTGGGCAGATTTAAGCAGATTTTAAAAACATCAGTCAGATGCCTTTGTTTGACCCTGATATTTTAAAAATAAACTGATAATCCGGTCAGTTGCATCTCCTCTTGCCTGAGAATTAATGACCATATTTCATATTTTTGCCTGCTGCAGGGTAATTTCCAGTGGTTCCAGAGAATAAATAACAGTATTTTAAGGAGACAAAACAAAAAAAACACACATTTACAAACACTGCTGAGCACTGACCCACACACTACAACACACACAACCACCAGAGTCTCTATATACAGAATCTATATAACCGTCATTAACACCAGCACAACTCTAAAAAGAAATTCAGTGTGTAGCCTCATCTGTTCTGCAGTCATCTGGTCCAAACGGCTCAAAAATACATCCAATTCAGAAGGAATGTGCACTTTGAGAAGAAATTAGAATAAGTAGGATCCTTTCACCTTTAAATTTAAACTTAAAATGAAGACTTACTGACCATCTCTCTCTTTTGTCTTAAGTCTTTCTATAATTCTCTCAGAAGACACATTTTCTTAGTACTTCCTGGTAGTGACACTCTCAGTCACAACAAACTACAGTAACACTAAACAAAACCTTCAGTCACCACAGTCCCTGACCTCCCCGTTCCACCCCAAAGGATTTCCTCCGGGAGAACAGAGTCCGTGCTGTGACAAAAGTTTGAAAAAACAAAAAGAAAACACAAAAGGTTTTATTGTCCACATAGAAAACTGGATCAGGCCCACAAGTCAACTCTGGCCCTTCAGCCGCTCTGGCCGGTTAAGGGGAAGGGCTCGGTTGGCACTGGCACAAAATCTGATGCACGGTATCAGATTGTTGTCTTTGCTTTAATATTCAGGCCTTTTTTTCTTTAATTACCCATCAGGAGAAAGTTTAATAATCTTAACTACAGAAAACCGGGGGTCACAAAAACAAAGTCCCATCCATCCACACAGTCCCTGGCAGCAGGGGGCCTGCTAAGAGGGTCCTGGCACGGGCACGTGCTGCTGCTGGTGGCCCGGGGGCAGCGGCCCACGGTTTCCTGGGACCACCGGTGAAGGGGGACCTTCAGCTAGAGGGGATCCAGCCTCTGCAATGAGGATTCAAATGTGGACAGGTTGATGAATCCCATTTGAGACGGATGGTGACAGGTTGTCAGTTTCAGGTACAGTTTGGACAGCTAAACTTTATTATTTTAGTTTTCTAACTTTCACTCCCTTTATTTTCATGTTTTTTGTTGTTAAGTGTGAGTCCTTGGGAGACATAAGCTGTATATACTACACATCTCACTAACCAACATTTCAAATTTCTGACAAATGAACAAGTAACTGCAGTGTCATGCTTACGTTTTGTCCCAGCTTTGAGATTTTCTGCCTTGACCCTTCCCATTTCTTCCATTGCCTGTGGAAAAAGAAAAAACAAAAATGGTAGAACAGCTTCATAAACAGCGATGTTACGATGAGAGAACAATATGAAATGTTACCACACGTTTCTGATTTAAGAGTTTGAGGTGAATTATGTGTGGAGCCAATATTTGAGGATAACAGAACAAAAAACAGCAGCATGATTGTTTCATACGCTTCTACCCTCCAGCTTTCTGCGTTAGCTACCTGCTGTAGCTCCATCCTTTGAGCATTTAGCTCTGCCTGCTTTCTTTCAAGCTCCTCCCTCTGACTCCGCAGCTCCACTGACTTCTGGTTGATGCTGTGTTCTTCGTTGGCCAGCTGCTGCTCGTACTCCCTCAGCTCCTCCTCCGTGTACAGGGGGTTTTGATCCAAAGTCTGCAGAGGACGGGGAAGAAAAGCCTGTGACAAATGTCCTTATTCTGATTGGCTGTGCTGTCATGTATATGAACAACACGGTTAAGGACACAAGGTCAAAATCTGTAGGCTCAGAACCTAATCATGAATCATTTGAGAACTCCCCTCTTGTGTAACTTGTAGGAGGATTTTTATGTGACTTAACCCATCAAAAGCTCTTAAGTGTCCAAAAAAATGTCATGAGGGAAACAGCCGCACAATCATTTTGATTAATGTTACTCATTGCAAAGGAGGAACTTGCACAATAATTTGGCAGGCAGTGATATTTCTACTAAAGCCAAGTAATTTCCTCAGAAGTTCTTATCAGTTCTGATGATTTTGGGAACCATGCAGATTCCGTGCAAGTGAACTCAACTTCATCTTATTTTCATTCAAAGTTAAAAAAATTATAGGAAACATTTATGATGCTAAAGCAGCGAGCTCCATGACTTAATGCTGTTTCTAGATCCATAACTGCAGAAGACCACCAAAGGGAAGCGACTCTCTGGCTCTTACCTCCCACTCGTCCTTCTCGTAGAACTCCTGCTTCTTGGTTGCCTCCATGAATTCGCTCAGTGAAACAAGCCTGTCTTTGTTGGTGTCCACCTGAACATCGGGACATGAGGGAGCTTCAGCCAACATCTGTTGCTGCGGTCAATCATTGACCAGGCGTGCTCTAACAGAAGGCTTTTCACTGCTTCCTGACCCGTGCCTCTGACTTTCACTGCCGTTTGTGTCAGTTGGAACATAGGGAAAAATCTGTGCACGAGTCTGTGTGCAATTCTTTTCCTCATAAAAAGAATTTCTTTAATATAACTTGCCACGTGACACTGATTGTGTGATGTCCCCTGGTCTCTGCTGGATGTGGCCTTCTCACCTCATTCATGACATGCTCCCTCATCCTCAGCCTCTCCTCCTCCATCTCCACCATGTCGTCCTCCTCATTTTCAGGATTGTACACCTTCTCCAGCTTGAAGGAAACATGTCGTTGTTACTTCAGGATGATCTACTTTATAGACTGTTCTAAAATGAGCCCAAAATAATCTGTAAATACCTCTTTAGTGAAGAGAGCTTCGAGCTCATTCTCGTCAAAGAAGCCGTCACCGTTACTGTCTGCGACACAAAACAGATGACAAGGATTACCATTAAATGTCATCCAATAGTATAAATAAGAATAATAGTAGGCTGTAAAATCTGGTGTGAAAAGTGGAAATGTTGGTTTTAGATTCAGAGACAGTTGTTCTTTACACAGACTCAAATCAGAGAATGAATTAGCTCAACATTGGTTTTCGGGTTCTTGAAAAGCAGACGGTCTGCAAGTTACCGTGCATTTTGAAAAAGGTTTTGGGATCAAAGTCGTCCGGGTCCAGACCATCTGCCTCGTGCCACACCTCCTTCAGCTGGTCTTCACTGCCCTGGACACACACACACACACACACACAGGGTTGACAGCAGACTCCCGTTTCGCTCGGTAGGAACGAGAATGAGAGCTGTGGAGATGGAATCCTTTCTGGGGTAAGAGAAGCCTCTTCAGAACATCTACTACATTTCTACATCTCTCTCATTCCCACTGCTCTTCTCTCTTCCCTGTCCCTCTGTCAGGTTCAGCATTGTTGGACACATAAACGTTTGTAAAAAAAAAAAAAAAGTCAAGCAGTTTGGGGTGATCAAGGAGGTCTTTTAACCACTAAAGCCTCCCTTGGCAAAGCTAATGTGTTCAGCATGGCACGGTACTCAAATTTCAGTTCTGCTGCCATAACACTGAACTGGAAAAGGTTAACAAAAAAATTATAAAAAAAAGAACATCTACTACAGCGAGGACCACCCTCGCTGTAGGGAGACAAATCATCCAGGTTTGCAACAAACAGACAGAGCCAATACAAAAGGGTTCCCCAAAAGACAGCAGTAACCTTCCTGTGTCACGGGAATAAAAAGGAGAGCGGTTCTGCAGAAGCCCTGTGGACCGGAGAACAGCTCTGGCACAGAGGCTCCACTGTGAGGAGGCCCTCAATATGCTGCCATCGCTCTCACCAAACTGGAATCCAAGAATAATAAACTCAGGAATAGCCGGGGCAGACTGACACTTTGGAGAGGCGTGCACTGACTGACAGACAGACAGCAGAGGAGCTGACAGAGTGGGAGTCAGGACCAGCTGACAGCACCACACATGCTCCATTCAGCAACGGGCACTTCTCCAAACGGGCCCCAGTGCTGCCAGGCCTGATGCCTGCCATGTTTCTGATGGACCCGATTGGGTTTTTGTCTTACGGGATGGTTGACTTTGGGATGGCTGGCGTGTTTCTTCTTCATCTCCTCGTAGTGGCGCTCTTCCTTTGTGCGGTCCTCCTCCGACAGGCCCCTCAGGCGCTGCCTCCTCTCGTGCTCCTTCATCATCTCGTACCTCTTGAACTCATCATGGCGCTCTTTGTCAAAGTTCTCCAGGTCTTTGGTCGCCTACGATTAAAAGCAAAACTATTAAAAAAGAGATTGTGCTTTTGCAAAAGGCTGCCCCAAAAGTTCCCCTTCATGTAAACATGAATGAGACAAGTTTTAAAAATATTCCAAAGTAAAGTCAGGAGCAAAGCAAACACTCTGTCATCACCGCTGTTTGCAGGTCTCATGTTTTTTCAAGATGGAACTTGTCACCAGGACAGAGAACAGACTAAAACCGCAGGTTCCCGTTTTTAAATTCTGTGGCAAACCCACTGAACTGCCTTCCCCTTTTTTCTGAATTCACAGAAAACCTGTTGCTATCGACAAACCAGTAGCTTCACGCCGAGGTAAGATGATAAAGGCCTCCACGATACCCTGAATGCCTTTATTTAGGAGCATCTGACAATCTAAGACAGCCAAAGAGGCTTCCACAGCAAATGTACAATCAATGGGTCGACACCTGTAATTCTTTGTGCTCAACAACAGTGCTTATAGCAACAGCACGGTTAGATTAGGGCTGCAGAAGAACAGCCATGCGGCGATTGTGTACCGATTGGATTAGTCGGTTCAGGTCTTCCACCTCAAACGTTTCTGGATTCATGTGGTTAAGGTGCTCAAACTGCTTGAGCAGGCCCTGGTGGTCCACTGTGAGACCTACGGAGAGGGGAGGAAAAGCTGCTTTCATCTAACCGCAACACAATTAGGTCCTTTAATGGCTTCTGCTGGAATCTTAACAATGGAGTACAGCTTTTATTTCGCTTCAACAAAATTCAACTGTGGGGCTCTGACATTTAGTCGGCTGACACCATGGTTACTCTGTCAAGGTAGAAAATACACTAGAGATTCTTTCGTTGGAGTTTCATTGGCATTTCAAGCTTCATGACTTACTTTCAGCCAGAGGCAGATGCTACCTCAACTTAAGCCCTGAATCTAATATACTCTGACAAACTGTATGAATATTTTCAGTTACTTTAATCTGTCAGTCAGGGGTTCCTTTGGTAAAGGACAATTTTTTCGATAACGTTCTTATGCCTAAGAATCACATCCTACTCTGATGATGACCCAATTGAATGTTTTATGGAGGAATCTTAAAATGAACAGGACTGCCACTGACACAGCTCTCACCATTTCTATCCTGGATGTCATGTTTGGCTTTGATGAGCATCCGCAGCCTATTCATCTCCTCCCTCTTCAGCTCATCAAGCTTGGTCCGAAAATTGCGATGGACAAAGTCCAGCTCTTTGGAAAGTTTGCCTTGCTGCGAGCACAGAGTCAACCAGGCACAGATGACTTGAACGGAGCACAATAAACAGCTTATCAAGACACTGAACTTTTTTTTTTTTAGTATACAAGTACCTTGATGTCGTCCATGTTGGCGTTTTTTAGTTTTTCTCTAAAGTGAGGGTCTTTCTCCAGGTATTCAATGACTTCCCTGAGGTAGCGGTCATAGTGCAACCCTGTGTCCTGAAAAAGAGACCAAACCTCCAGTTGATCCATCTGCTAAAGAACACGCACATCTACCTAAGTGACGCTGCGTTTGTTTGTCTTCCTATCAGCCTTTTACCCACGGCCAGCTGCACTTTATGTGGGTGGCTGTTTGACACTACAAGCCCTCATACGCTTTTTCTGTTTTGGGAAAACTCTGTTAAATCTACATGTTAACTAGATATCCTTGAATTAGACAAAAATACTTGTGACTCACAGCACTCCTGGGTGGGTCCAGCTCCTCCGCCACAGGTTCTTCTTTGGCCTTGTCCACGTTGATAGGCACTGAGTGAATACACAGCCACAGACACAGGAGAACCAGCCCTCCGCGGGCCAACTCTTGGCTCCCCATCATCTGTTTAGGAAGAAATATAGACACAATCATTAAAGTTAGTTTGGGAATTTGACATGAATTTGTTGTATCTATCAAGATTTTTTTCGGATACAGAAATGAACAAACCTATTCATCTTTATGACAACATGTCTAGTTTGCCAATCATTGCTAAACGGGGGCAAAACAAAAAAACAATACCTCATACAGAAACATGGGGATAAGCTTATGCAAGTTAGTCCTAATCTCCAACACCACGCTCTGCTACAAGAAAACACACGTGTTGGCTGGATAAGAACACGGCAAGCTTACTTAAAAAGACCCCTCTATCAGGGCCTTGTAACTTTAAAGATGTGTCCATCACATAACTGACATGGCATATGCTAACTGAACAGGTTGTTAACGGGCTTAGTGTGATGACGAGGCTGGAGGCTAATTCATTATCCGGTTGTTGTTTTTTTAAACCACAGAGTGAATCAAACGCAGTAACTGTATGAATTAAACGTTAGGTAAAATACTACTTACTGGAAAAATGGCGCTTCCTTTGAGCTGCTCACCTTTAGGTGCTGCTCGGAGTGCCTGAGAGTCGGCGGAGCTTGTTTACGGCTGTCAGCGCCCGCCACCAACACAAGCCCTAGGTAGCCACAGCCTACAGTTCACCATGGCAACGGACTACCTTCTCCGACGCCTATTGGACGGAAAGAGTCACTGTCTTGGGAAAATAGTCGCGTTGAGAGCTGATTGGGTGCTGAGCCTGTCAATCAAACTGTGTCTAACTTAACTGGCGACTTCAGGTGCGTTGAGTCAAGCTGTACGTGGCGTACAGAAAAGCCGTCTGAGGCCGGACTCAACGTCTAATGACAGACTACATCTCGTGATTAAAATGATAAAGTGAAATTCACCATATTTTAGATTTTTTAATGAGCTAATACTTTGTGAGATAAGCAATTTAGCATGTTAAATTCAGCTCTAAGATAATTCAAATGTATATGATATGAGCGTTACGTAAATGCATTTACTCACATTATCTTGCCTAATCTGACTGTCACAGTCGTAATGGCAAAACGAAAAACGAAATCACACAGATTTATGACTTCCATAATTAACTCAAGATAAATAAACCTAAATACACAAGTCATGAATTCCAATTCACACTTTCCATAACTGGATATATATACAATAGTTCGTTTGTTTTAGACCAGCATCAGTGACTGTCTGAACTTGGTTTGGATCCGGTGGGATTGAAAGCCACTGAGTCCAGATCCGGACAGTGGCGGCCTCTGTCCACACGGTGGCGCAGCTGCGCCGCCCTCCACCCGCCAGAGAGCCGCCGAGCAGCAGCGGCGCGACCCGACCGTGTCCAACCAAAACTCCGCCAAACACCTCAACAGGAACTGACGTCTCCTCGGTGCAAGTGGATGGAAAAATGCAGCTGCAGGAAAAATGGCTCCAAACGCCGCACCGCTGAAAGGTGGGACTCCAAACTCTTTTTTTTACCAACATGTAAAAGTTTTAGCTCCTGTATGTCTGACATCGGCTTCTTGTGGCTCCCGCTACGGAGGAGCCTGCCTTTCTTCCTTGTTTGTGTTAGTTTCCAGAACCAAAGCAAGCAGTTGCCCGAAGTAGTTTGAAATGATTAAAGCAGCGTCCCCTCAGAGCGCGAGGCGGCCGGTGGAGTGTCCGTCCAGCTAAAGCCAGGCGGTCTGGCTTCACCAACTTAGCATCTCCGCTAACTTAGCATCCGACAAAGTGACGAGTTAAAGTTCCCAGAAGGCGAAGTAGCTGAGAGGGGCTGTTTGTGTGAGCTAACCGGCGGGTTGGTGGGGAGCAGCGGGGACTGGTGGCCTGTCAGAGCCGGGACGGGGGGGGCAGCACGGCGCTTTGTTTGGGGCCAGGTGAGCATCAGGGGACGGGCTACGTCAGGTACCCGAGTCTCCAAAGGGCTCCATGGAATAGGTCTGGCCGCAAAACACTTTTCAGTCCATTTAAAAGTGGAGGTTTGTTGTAAGTATGAACAGCATATAGTAAAAAACAACTCCTCTGATACCTTTAAGGTTAATCGCTAATCACGGGATGGACTTCCACTGCTGTGAAGCTGCTTCCTGCTCAGAAATAGTCACAGGCTGATAAGGGAGATACTAGTTCATGTGGTTTGTGAATGAGAAATTCCCTCTTTAGCTGGAGTTTTAGTGCTTAGACAAATGTGTTTTTGGTACTTTTCATGAGTTTGTGAAGAAGGATTTTGGATGAAGTGGTGCCATTCTATGAGGAAAGTATTTGGTATTTTACTTGGAACTCCAACGTGATCTATCAGTTTGTCTTATAAATATCTTTATGGCTGTAATCTTCAGCCCAGGGTTGCTGAGGAAGCCAGATCAGAAAAGGAGGCAGAAGTCAGAAATCTATAAATCCTACAATACTTGGTTACATATTTCCTCCTTAAACATGTTACATTGCCCTTTGCTCTGCTGCCAACATCTGGACAGCTGTGGCGGACAGGAGGTCTTCAGTCCTGCCTGGCCTGACCTTTAACAGGATAGAAGGCTCACATCAAGTTTTTTGAACTTTACAAACCATGGTAGTTGTGTTCTAAATGCTTATTGGGATTCAGATATGTTAAAATGTAATAGTCTTTTACATTCAATGCCAACTGCAATACAGCTGCCATATTTATGACTGTGCATAAATCATGTTGTTGCTGAAAAACTTTTGGAATGTACACTGTAGCTTTTGTTTTCCCATGTACATTTTCTGTAAAGGCAGGTTAGGTTGGTAGCTATTTTGTCGTCTGTGGGATGACTTTAAAGGTACCTATGCCCAAATGTTCTGTCATGGTCTGAAGTACAAGTGATCTGTCACTCTTTGATTCAGCGAGCATGTTTTCACATAGTTTTCCACATGTGTCTAGACTATTTTTGGCTTTTCTCCAACCGTGTTTTTTCATTTTTTTTAGGCTTCTTTTTATATCCAAAGAAAAAAATAATCCCCTATCTAGTCTCAAACTTCCAGTCAACAGCATAGAACTTTTGATAATTCTAAAGAGTGATGTTTAGTATGTCTCTTCTATTAATGCTCTCACGTCTGAGGGTTGTGTTCAGTGTATCAAAACGTGCCAGTGAAGGGGATTTTTCTTTCTATCCCTTTTAAACAGGGACTTTACATATTAAGATCCAATCTGTCAGGACACATTCTTGCTGTGCACACATTCAACAATATTGTAAAAGCTTTTGTTTGACTACATGGCCTTTCTTTGGAGAATTAGGCCATCAGTGACAGCTCGGACCAAAAGATTATGACCTTTTTTTTTTTACATGCATTCATTTCCCCGAGCTGTGTTCTTGGCAAAGTCAGCACCAGGCTACTCGAGTCGAAGGCCTAATGACTGCAGCCACACTCTGGCTGCCTGCTGATGTCCAGCCAGCTGACGGGACGGCCGTGGGCCGGCGCTAACGTGATGCTAACGGAGTGAGAGGAAACCAGAGCAAGACAGATTTGGTATGCTAAACTGGGCTGTTTAGCATACCAAATTCCTCAGCTGCACAATAGTGTTGGGGCAGCCCGAGCCCCAGCACAGCCAGCCTTCTCCACCACCACAATGGGAGGGCAGGCTCAGGAGAGGCCAGTGCCGCCTGGGGAGGGAAGGAACTCGCTCAACCCTGGGGCTCTGATCTCCCATGAATGGCTGCTTTGAGAAGGCGCTGTCATTTTGGACTGGCCAAACAGTCCTCACGGCCATGTTTTTCTTGGTTGTCAAGCGTGCAGTATTCCACGTCTTGACAACTATTGTCTTTTTTTTTTTTTTTTTAAACCAACCCTTGTAGATTAGTGTAGGAAATAACAGGCATGCTGATCAGTAGCTGAAACGTGTTCATTACCGTTTGTGTACAGATTAGCTGCGGTAGACGATGTGATGAGTCATATGTTCCCTCCTCGTTAGAATCATCCTGTGGAATTGTTTGGTTTTGTGCCCGGGTCACGCAGGCCGCCCGGCTGCTTGGATAAACATTGGCGGCGGGCAGCTTTTGAGATGGGATTGAAGTGCGTGAGTACAGGAGAGTCCACTGTCTGCCCATGGCAGCGTTGGGATGCTGGAGGATCTGACCCACATGATGGTCCTGAGCTCAGAGCGGGCTTAGGGACTGCTGGCTGTCCACATGTGGCCGGTGGCAGCAGATCGATACGCGGTGGGGGGGGATTATTGTTCCTGCTGCTGTGGCTCCGCAGGTAGACGGAGCTGTCCGTTAATTATGTGGTTGGCAGTTAGATCTCCTATTTCCTCATCCTTGTTTTGACTCTGTTTGACCTACTGTGATGTCATTTATCCAAAATAATCCCCTGCCCCCCTCTCTTCTCTGTAGGTGTCTAAAGCTTCGCTGCGAGCCTGTAGGCTGAACTGACTTAAACGCCCTCATACCCATGGCTCCTTCCACTTGACACAATGGCCCAGATATCAAGCGGTAATGGGTTCAAGCTGGATGTCCCCCAGCCAAAGGGGGTTGTGGGTAAAGAGGAAGCCCTCCGCATGGAAGAAGAGGCTTTGGCTAAATTGCAGAGGGAGAAGAGGCACACTCTTTCAGCTTCCACATCTGTTTCTCCCTCTGTGGCACCCTCATCCTCCTCCAAACCAAAACCATCTAAGTCCACCACTACTGCTCCTCAGCCTTCACCCTCGCTGAGTAAACCCAACAAGGACCTCATTGTCTTCCCGGAGACCGAGAAGCAAGCCGAGCAGGACAAGTTCAGGGATATCGATGTGGACAAACTGACCAATGAGGAGCTGGAGAAGCTCCTGCTTGATGAAAACTTTGGGGCTAACAGCCAGGTGTCCCGGCCCTCCTCGCTGCTGAGGTTTAACCTCAGCGCCTCCTACCCCGGAGGCCACACCTGTGGCTCCTCTCCCTACCAGAACAGCCAGTGGGCGTCCCTTCTGTCCACGCCATCAAGCTCCAATGTTTCCACTCCAACCCATCAGCCCGCCCCCATGTTCCCCTCGGCGCCGTTTCCCAAACCGGGCGCATTTCAGAATGGTTTCTCCCCCGCCATGTCGCCCTTCCTGGCTCTGCCGGCGCAGCAGACGTCCTTCATGGCCTTCACTCCCATCCAGCCTGCCGCCGCCATGGTCTTCCAGCAGCCCTCAGTCGACCCGCAGATGGCCAAACTGTTTGACAAGATAGCCAGCACCTCTGAATACTTGAAGAACGGCAGGTCGGCCAGCACTGAGCTGGATGCTTCCCAGGCTGGCTCGGGCCCGCTGGCGCCCAACCCCCCACCCCAGCAGCCAGCCCCGGGGGCGGCGGAGAGCCCCCACATGGGCCGCTTCGACTGGCTGGATCTGGACCCGCTCACCAAGCGCAAAGCTGAGGGCGAGGACGCCCCCCAGGCCTCGGGGGAGGCAGCCCCGGGAGCCCCCGCCGGGGACCCCTGGGACGCAGTCCTGGAGACGGAGGGGAACAGCAGCAGCCCCGCCGGGGACGGGAAGGCCTCCCTGTCCGTCCGACCGGCGCAGAGGAGAGCCTCAACAGGGGCGGCCGTCACCAGGAGCCACTCCCTCAACATCCCAGGGACCTCCTCCCAGCAAAAACCAAACCATCAGGTAAGTAGAAAAAACTTTACGCAGCGTCTGTAGCCTCGATTTCAGAAAATACACTGATCCAGCACAAGAAGGCACTTAAACACAATCTTTCTGAACAAGTGCAGACTAAATAAAACTGCATTCCTGAAACCTATAACATGGCCTACAAACAGTGGGCAGTGCTGAGAACAGGGGGGGGTTCTCTGAAGACAGGCTGACACCTGTGGAACAGGTGTGCTCTCAACACCCCATTAGCACTTGGTACTTTCCTCCTGATGAAACTGACCATAGACCAGATGAAATGAACAGGCTAATTGGTGGACCAATCAGAATTGTGGAGCCGGGGCGTACCGACCACTGGTGGAGCGGGGCTTCCGGCCCTCGTTGGGAGCTTGTAGGCAGCGCTCTGAGTGGGCTGGGTTAGTCCCAGCAGCCCGCTCTGATTCTGTTCTGCTCTTTCATCATCCGTAACCCTTTGTTTCAGCGAGGCCGTGCGTTTAAACCTGCCATCGCCCACACTGCCTCAGGCCCAACGCAGAATAGTCAGGAAATCCCAGCCCAGCTCGCAAAGGATGAGCGTGACTCAGGTTCAGTCAGAACAGCTCCTCCCGTTGGGCCAGAATCCTCCTGAGCGCATCGCTAACAAATGGGTGTTGAGCACATTTCTCAGTAACTGACTTGCACAAGAACAGCATCCTGTTCTGCTCCTTCAAATGGAGTAATAAAGTGTTTCTTTTTGGTTCCCCCCCCCCCCGTTTCACCACTCACTTTCCGCTCACACCACGTCCTGTGATTAATTCATTCTGCCAGGCAAGAAGAGCGAGCTACATTCCTGAAATGAATATTTAAAATGTTCATTTCGGGCTGCGCCGTGGGCAAGTGGCATGTGATGTTGTTGTCCTTTTTTGGGTTCTTCTTTTTGTTTTTTCTTCCCACTGAGAAACCATCTGTCATCCGGCTTGTAGCTCCTAGCTGCAGCGATGAGACGACGAAAACCTCTCAGGCATGCTAAGACCTAACTAACAGTCAAGCAGTCATTTGTGTGGTAAATTCCTGCTGTTTACTCGCTATCTGGCAATCAGATTAAACAAAGGTTATCCTGATTTACCACTTGTGGTCCAGAAAACTCTATCTTTGAACCCCTTGCCCTTTAGATTAAGATCTTAAAGCAGTTCTTTTAGACCGGTTTTTTTATTTTTCTTTATTTCGCTGTGCACCCACTTCCTACTCATAGTGTTTAGATTTGTGATGACCAAACACACATGTTTCGCACACCAAGGTGATAATTAGCCTCACAACACTGTGGGACATATCTGTTTCCAGCATTTCTTGTGGCCGTAGAAAACACAAACAATTGAACTCGATTTGGATACATTTTGTTTTTTGGGGTTTTAAAAAAAAAAAACAACAACAACAATTATGGTGCTTTGAAGTGTAAAAATGACTAAAAGAGGAGGAATCCATGTTCCAGACTGCAGACATGCCAGTTTGTCCCGTCTGAGCCGGCCGGCCCTCAGGCTTCAGGAATGTCTCTCTTTCCTTGAAAGGAACAAACGGGGCCTGCTGACGCTTGCCTGCATGTTGTGTCTGTCGTGCAATCGGAGTCTTTATGGCTCTTTGCACACTTGTTTAATCTCCACTCATGGAGCCTGAGGTCTGTGGGAATGTGAGGTCCTGACGGAGCCTGTCCGCACAGGTGCTGTGCAGCTAGAACCCAGTAACCCAGTTTCCAGGCCAGCCAGATCTCATGCAGGATTAGGTGTAGGAAATGGCTTTTTTAAAAGCTCAGATATCTTTGAACTCTTTTGCACTTTGAACTTGATCCCCTGATACATTCAGACAGCCCACACTCCCTGTGTCTGCTTACATATAATGATGTCTCCCTTTGCTTTATGCCTGCAGAGCTTCATTGATTTGAGGCAGCAGCTTGAAATGTTCAGCTTGCAAAACATGGTCACAGGACACAGAGGCCAGCAGCAAAGCAGTATGGGAAAAAATCAGAGTGGGTTTTTTTTCTTTTTTGCAGAAGTGTAACAACATCGGAACGAAACTAGACTGCTGAACCACAAAGAAGTGCAGCTAAACAGCTGAGCACACAGCTATGAACTTTAGCTGAAACGGTTTTTTTAGATATCCATTTGCACTGAGGTTGTGTGTTTACTATGAAGGCCCAGAGGTGCTCTCTGTGTGTCAAGCAAGGACAATGGGAATTCCTCAGGCCTGACAGGAACTTCCTTTGATTCCACGATGAGACACAAGCTTTGCTGACCTATTAAATAAAAATGGCAAAAACATAAAGGAAAAAAGTTAATTAATAAAAACGTCTCTCAGCATTTAAAAGGATTTCACTTCTATTAACTTGTATAGTAAATCCCCTTAACTAAATGAATTATACCAACACTCAATTTCCCTCTGGAATCACTGTAGTATTTTTTAATTGAACTGAATGGTGTCCACTCCTTGAGTGTCCTTTCTGCAGCAGGATATTCAGTCTGGATCTGGACATCAGATACCTTTTCACCTTAGCTTTACAAGCTTAATGAATCTTTTAACAGCATGCATATCTACTAAGCTGCTTTTCCTTATCTTTTGTTTTTTAAGGTAGATTTTATTAAAGTTTTCAGGTTTCATTTTAGCCTGATATCTCTTTGTGCCCTCCTTGTGCCAGGAAAGGTCACCAATTACCAGGAATTCTCTGGGGCATGACTGTATTTCCCCCCTGCTTTTGTTGCACTGTGTTAGAGTTATGTGTCACACAGGGATTTCTTTTGTCAATGCTTTTCATAAGGATGTTTTTTTGGGGGCTATGAATGTTCGACCGGCTGGCATCTGGTTACTAAACCTGAGAGTTTCTCATAGGGATGTATTATAACATAAGCCGGAGTGGGCAATGAGGACAATGAAGTGGAGAAAATCATGTTGAATTAACATGTCTTAAGTCCCTGTTTATCCCCTTTCTGTCCATTTGTCAGCTATGTATTTCTATACTCTGACTTTCTCAATGTGTATTATCTGTGTGTGACTTGTGACTCGTATCCTTCAACCTCCTGTCAGTCTGTTTCTTCACATCAATCTCAGGTTGTTGGCTTGCCTTTCTTGTGGCCTTTGGGAGCAAAGCCATAAGTTGGTGATGATGCTTTAAACAGTACAGCTTTTTGAGCGTTGCTGCCATGTCCCTGAAACCAGACAGAGGGTGTCACTCATCCTCCTCAGCAGGGTAGTGGCTTTAAAATGGCTCTCAGGTCAGATCATTGCTGTGGAACACATGACTGGTCCCGTTTCTTGGTGCTATGACATATGGGGAGTGATGGAGCAGGGACTGGGCTCGGCCGGGTGGATGCTGATTAGCTGGCCGTGTGTGTACCTGCCTACTCTCGCACTGTTCCTTCAAAATGACCTGCAGGCTGATTTTTATCTGAACTGGCCCTTTTCTTCAGAACATGTGCAGCCGTTTAAGTGTGCATGTGAGGGGGAAACTTAAACCTGCAGCGTATCAAGCAGGCCGTGCTTTGTTTTTACCTTTTGCACACTTGGATCTTTTTTTTCTCCTACCCCACAGATATTTAAAGTTTCACCCCATGTCCTCCCACTGCTCACACCACTCCATTTCTTTTTTTAAATCTCAGTCTGATTATTCTAATTACTCTGCAGAAGTGGGAGATGCTACTGTCTGTGGGCAAACAGCTGCCTCACCTCAGAAACGGATCCAACCGTCTTTTCATGATGGGTTTGTCTGTCGGACCACGTATTCTTTAAACCAGGGGCTTAAGTTTGATCACAGGAAGCGCCTCTTACTTCCTTTCTGAATGAAGAAGTAGCAGTTGGTTCCGCCAATCTAAACTTTCAAAGGCGCTTTTTTTTGTTGGCAAGGTTTAGTCCAAACAGTGTTAAGGAGATCTGTACACATGACCTTGATCTTTACAGTGAAATCTGGAGTAATTTAGTTTTTTTCTTGTTTTTAAGTACAGCCCCAGGTCATTTCCAACCTGAGGATAGGTTTTGTGTTGGGTGGCCCCCTTTTCTAAAGAAAACGCTGATAAACCTGGTTTTTAAGGAAAGCCAAATATACCACAAAGTTACTTTCATTTGAGGATGAATTGATTACATTTTCGGGCAAAAAACAGATTTTCTGAGATACATGATTTTTAATTATGATCTTCAATTATAACAATATTTGAAACAAAAACTCAGTTGTTTCTTTGGATCAGAAGGAGAGATGACAAAACTAAGACTTTAGTGGCTAACAAACGTCACTGCAAGGAGGAAATGATAGTTTTTCTCTGTAGTCCATTAAACGTTATTTGTTCTCTTTATTCAGCAGCAGCTATCAAAACCGTAATAGTGTTAGTTTAAGAAGTTGAAACATCCACGCCTGGCTATATTTGGCAAAAGCACACTGAAAAATGTGACCCGTGTAGGCACGGGGGTCTAAAATGGAACAAAGTAGCCTAAATGTGGCAAACAAAAGAGGAGCCCACTCACTACTTGGCTTTAGGCTCCAGAGAAAGTTCTTCATCCAGGGCCTTAAACGAGTGGTCGAATAACAAAACAAAGCACTAAGACCAGACTCACTGAAAGCTTTGAAGAACATCTTTTCTCAGGGGCATGAATCATTATCTCCAATATGAACCCAAAAGTGTTCTGAATGAATGTGTGTTTTGTTTTGTTGTTGTGTTTTGACTCCTGGGGAGTAGAGAGGTGGTGAAATAAGGATTATGTGACAGGTGATTGTTTCACTGACACGACAAAACCAAGAAGAGATGGAAAGTGTCATGAGTGTGCACAGGTTGTGTTTGCGCTGTAGGAAGCTTTAAGCTCCCGGCTGTGCTATTGCCTCTGCAGCTCTCACCTGACCCGGTCTGGAGTTCTGTGGTGCACCCCCGTCCTCTGTGAGCATAGACCTGTACGAGTTAGCTCCACACATTTGCCTGCAGACTCCACATTGACTAAAGGCCTAGTCGGGTATGGCGTGCATCTGCTGCATTTCCTCTTATTTCAAATCCACTGGAACATTTCAGCATTTCATCAAGCTAGTTTCTTGGCTGTAACTCCTCTTGAGTGTTACTCACAGTGTCTCACATACACAAGCAAAAAAGTGTCAAGCATCTATGTACCCATCAGAAGAAAAACAAGTGGCTGAGGCTTTAGTCTGTTGCAACAAAGAGCAGCTGGAGAGCAGATTTCTCCAGTGTTTTGTCATCTCTCAGTATATCCTAACAGTTATGAAATAGTTTTCCTCTGACAAGCGGACCGGGTCCGGAGCAGTGGCCCGCCGGCTCCACCTCTGTGTCGTCGGTTAGAAGCCCAGCTCTACATGCCGATGATGGATCCCGCCTCGCTCTGCCATGAGGACACACGCCTCCCATCCAGTCACGCACCGCGCCAAAGGAGCCGTCAGTCTGGAGCTACGTCAGAGCCCTGCAGAGCTGAGAAATGAAGCTAACACTGCTGACGTTCCTCAAGTTGCTCTGTGGTGTCTGACTGAAGTTTTTCTCTTTGCTGTCTTATTCTCTCTGGCCCAGATCTATATTTGGATTCTATTGGAATGCATAATGAGTCTGTTTTATGACCTTTTATAAACTATACTCCACCCCCCCCAGTTCTTTCAGCTGAAGCAGTAGCATAACATACATTCTGATATGCAGATGAAGATCAGTGCGTCCAGACCCCCGGCTGGACCCTCCTGGCCTCACGCTCTTAGAAAGTAGCCTCT